AACACTACACCCTACCCCACCACACCACTACACCCGACCCTACATACTACTACCCTACACACTACCCTACACCCTACCCCTACACACTACCCCTACACCCTACCCCTACACCCTACCCCTACACCCTAACTACACCTACCCCTACACACTACCCCTACACCCTACCCCTACACCCTACCCCTACACACCTACCCCTACACCCTACCCCTACACCAGGGGTAGGCAAGTAAGTTTGGCCGTGGACCAATTTTTTTCTGAGCCACTAGATGGCGGGGCCAGAACATAATCAAAGCCTAATTCAAGGAATTTATTTTGGTAAGAGGGCGCAGCGCCCCTGTTCCCTGGTTCAGAAAAAACTCTGATATCGCTGATAACCCTCCCCATCAACACTTTAATTTACCTGGTTCCCCACAACCACACATTTGCCATATGTGACCCGCTCTATCGAAATCAGTCGGAAGTCGCAACGGCTCATTTCAAAATAAACGTGGATTTGCGTAAAAAACTCGTTTTTCGGGGTTCGGGTGTTTTGTTTGATTTTAACTAAACAAAGTCTTGGCTTTCAGAATATGAAACTTTTATTTCCAAAATCACACGATAAATACATGTTTGAAGCTTGTAAAGGGAAGACGACAGCTCTCACTCGCCACTCTGCTCTTCCAAAGCGCCGCCCCCCCTCCCTCCGCTGAAATTATGAATGTAAGCGTATAGTGATCATAGATAACACGGCAGGGTCCGTTACAGTTTGTTTTCATCTGATTTCAAATAAACAAAGTCTTGGCTTTCAGAATATAAAACTTGTTTCGGCAAATTCAGATGATAAATACAACTTTGAAGCTTGTGACGGCATAATTACAAGCGGAGAACGGAGTAACTTAACGTCACAGCAGGCGTAACAACAGCCGGTGTTTCTTGTGTGTGTTTTCCCCGGGAAACAAACACAATACACACAAACACACACACACATACACACACACACACACACACACTCGCGAGCTTCCCCCAGACCAGTAATCCAAAGCAGTAATGTCACTCTCCAAAGGTCTAAAGAGGAAAGTTGACGGTGAAAACAGGGCATTTAAAGAGGAATGGACAGCGAACTATGCGTTCATCCTACCTGGTTTCATCAATGCAAAGCCGTTGTGTCTTATCTGCAATGAAGTTGTGGCTGCTTGCAAAGAATATAATATTAAGCGGCACCACGAGACGAAGCATGACACCTTCAAAGTGGCCTTTCCCCCCAAGACAGAGGCACGAAAGCGCAATATTGAAGCACTGACAGCAGGTTATGCGCACAGCAGCAGGATCCTGGTGCGAGGCCTCACAGCCCAGCAGAAAGTGACAACCGCGTCCCTAAAGGCGTCGTGGGTGCTCGCAAAGCATAACCGGCCATTCACTGACGCAGAGGTTTTCAAGGAGGTGATGGTGACTGTTTTGGAGGAACTGGCCACCGACAAGTCCATGGATGGTGTCATTGCGTCAGTGAAACAAGTGTCCCTCTCTGCGAGGTCCGCTATACGCCGCATAGAAGCACTGTCGGACGCTGTGCAGGGGGTAATCATCAAGGGTCTCAGTCAAGCCAATTACTTTTCCTTAGCCATTGACGAGAGCACTGACAGTACAGATGTAGCCCAGTTGTGCGTCTATGTTAGATATTTTGATAGAAAGGAGTTCAGGGAAGAGCTGCTGTCTCTTATTCCATTAGAAGGGCACACCACTGGGGACGTTATATTTACAAAACTGGAAGAGTTGTTTAGGCTGCATTCATTGTCATTTGAGAGGGTTAACCTAATCGTGACAGACGGGGCTCCTGCTATGGTGGGAAAGCACAGAGGTCTGGTAAGCAGGTTGAAGGAGCACGCCCCCCAAATGCATGGACTGCACTGTCTCATCCACCAGAGTGTCCTTTGCGCCAAACTCAGTGGTGAGCTAAAGGAAGTTATGGACAAAGTGATGCGTGTCATTAATTTTGTCAGGGGTACATCAAGCACCCAGCATCGGCTTTTCCGACAACTTGTGGCTGAGTCAGAAGAGGCCACCCACGATGACCTGCTGCTTCACAATGACGTGCGCTGGTTGAGCAAAGGGAAAGCGTTGGACCGCTTCTGTGCGCTACTGGATGAGGTCAAGGCGTTTCTTAGATTGAGCAAGATTAGGGCAGCAGCTGACCACCTTGCCCTTCTGGGAGACGAAAAGTTCATGTCCAATGTAGCATTTTTAGCGGATATATTTGGCCACCTAAACCAGCTTAACCTGCAGCTACAGGGGAGAGGCAAAACCATAGTGGACATGGTTGAAAAGCTTGAATCCTTCACGAGGAAGCTGGAGTTGTTCGAGTCAGACATATCCACTGGCAGGCTCCTCCATTTCAGTACACTAAAATCACAGGCACTGGGACAGTGACAGAGCTTATGGTGGACTTCATCAAGCAGCTACGGGCCAACTTCACGTCAAGGTTTGAGGACTACTCCATCCCAAAAGACATCATTGCCTTTGTACGCGATCCTCTCACAGTCCGACCAAGTGGAGACTTCACCTCCCAGGCGAAACAAATGATCCCCTCCTTAGACGAGGCTGCATTAGAAATGGAGCTAATTGATTTTCAAACAAGCTCCCTGGTCAGCGATGCGCTCAGAAGTGCGGAGTCTGTGAGTGCCTTTTGGGTGGGAAGCTCAGAGGAATATAGCACGATCAAGAGACTCACATTTTATGTGCTCACAATGTTCCCTTCCACCTATACATGCGAGTCGTCCTTTTCTTCAATGAATGCGATAAAGACGCACGAGAGGAATCGATTGACGCATAAAAACCTTGAGAACTGCCTGCGGATTAAAGTGACGTCCATATCACCAGATATCCAAAAAATAGCGACCGATGGGAGATGTCAGTTTTCACATTAAGTGAGTACCAAGCCTGTCGTAATTGTATTTAATAGCCTAATTATATTTTTTATATTTTTGAATTAATGGCTCATTGTAATAATTATCCCTAATGTAGCGTGCTCTGTCGTTTCAGGAGCATATGCACCACCACTCCTCGCCCTCCATGATCAAGTGGCTTCTCCAATTTTGTTGTCAATGTTTTGACTGAACTTTGTTACTGTTCACATATAAGTAAACATTACGTTTGAATGATTTAGTGAGCTGGTGTTATTTTTTTTCAAACCACACACCGAATGTTGGCTATTTCAGCACCACGCGCTGTCCACCTATTGATCCACTATCAGCGTCAGTGCACCCCGCTGCCTGATTGTGCCTGTGCTGTATGTCATTCATTCTCAACATGGATAAAAGTACAATAAGCATTCTTCAGGTGTAGGTAGATTCTCTATTCAGACATTATAGCCTACACAGTATATGTGCGACTGTCGGTCCGATGTTGTAAAAAAAAAAAAAAAAAAATCTCAAAATATTTTTTCATTTTTTATTCTCAAAATGACGGGCCAAATATTATTGCTGGCGGGCCAACAATGGCCCGCGGGCCGCCTGTTGCCGACCCATGCCCTACACCCTACCCCTACACACTACCCCTACACCCTACCCCTACACCACTACCCCTACACACTACCCCTACACACTACCCCTACACACTACCCCTACACACTACCCCTACACCCTACCCCTACACCCTACCCCTACACACTACCCCTACACCCCTACCCCTACACACTACCCCTACACCCTACCCCTACACACTACCCCTACACCCTACCCCTACACACTACCCCTACACACTACCCCTACACACTACCCCTACACACTACCCCTACACCCTACCCCTACACACTACCCCTACACCCTACCCCTACACACTACCCCCTCTATTTGCGCGTGTCACTCCACGGAGTTCACTCCGTCACAGAGGGGTAGGTGTTGGGCGTGGTTTGGGATTGGTCCAGAGAGATGGAGAGACACAGAGACCAGCTCCAACACAGTGGATCAAACGTGAGAGGAGAAGTTACCGAGCCAATTTGAAGATAATGCTGATCAACGAAGCATCAAACAACTGTCGAGCATCAAAGAAATGTGGTGTTACTGAGAGTAACGTTAGAAGAGGGCGAGCCCAAAAAGACTGACTTCATAAATGCAGACAGGGTTAATGTTTATCGTCACTCAAGCTTCTGGACGCATTTCTCTTCTGCATGGCTCCTTGATATCTCTATAGAAATACTTACAGCTTCTTATTCTGTATCAGTTATCTTCTCACCTTTCCATTCACCTCCAATTAAATGAACCCTTTCTTTAACAAGGGGTCACAACATGTACAAGGTCTCAAATCCTGTGTGTGTGTGTGTGTGTGTGTGTGTGTGTGTGTGTGTGTGTGTGTGTGTGTGTGTGTGTGTGTGTGTGTGTGTGTGTGTGTGTGTGTGTGTGTGTGTGTGTGTGTGTGTGTCAGTAAGATGAAGGGCTCAGATAACCAGGAGAAGCTGGTCTACCAGGTGATCGAGGACGCTGGAAACAAAGGTGAGGCTTTTATTTTGAAATCCATCCCTCTGCTCAGGTACAGGTGTGTGTGTGTGTGTTTTATATTTCCCAGAAACCCCTGAGGGAATCTTGTGTTTGTGTGTGTTATCATCCTGTCTGTGTTTCAGTGCCTACACTTTATTTAAATGTTTATATAGAGCCTTTCTAGCAATGTTGTGAAGCACTGAGTGGCGTTGTGCTGAAAGGCGCTTTGTGGTTAAAGCATAACAGTGGAGATCTTACAGAGTTTGTGTTTGTGTGCCAGGGATCTGGAGCAGAGATATCCGGTTCAAGAGCAACCTCCCTCTGACCGAGGTCAACAAGATCCTGAAGAACCTGGAGAGCAAGAAGCTCATCAAGGCCGTGAAGTCTGTGGCTGTGAGTCTCAACCTCAACACTAACCCGAGTTTATCCCGAGTTTACCCCGAGTTAAACCTGAGTTTAACCTGAGTTTACCCTGAGTTTAACCTGAGTTTAACCTGAGTTTACCCTGAGTTAAACCTGAGTTTAACCAGAGTTTAACCTGAGTTTAACCTGAGTTTACCCTGAGTTAAACCTGAGTTTAACCTGAGTTTAACCTGAGTTTAACCTGAGTTTACCCTGAGTTAAACCTGAGTTTAACCTGAGTTTAACCAGAGTTTAACCAGAGTTTAACCTGAGTTAAACCTGAGTTTAACCTGAGTTAAACCTGAGTTTAACCTGAGTTTAACCTGAGTTTAACCTGAGTTAAACCTGAGTTTAACCTGAGTTAAACCTGAGTTAAACCTGAGTTTAACCTGAGTTAAACCTGAGTTTAACCTGAGTTAAACCTGAGTTTAACCTGAGTTAAACCAGAGTTTAACCAGAGTTTAACCTGAGTTTAACCTGAGTTTACCCAGAGTTTAACCTGAGTTTAACCTGAGTTTAACCTGAGTTTACCCAGAGTTTAACCTGAGTTTACCCAGAGTTTAACCTGAGTTTAACCTGAGTTTATCCCGAGTTTAACCTGAGTTTAACCCGAGTTTAACCTGAGTTTAACCCGAGTTTACCCAGAGTTTAACCTGAGTTTACCCTCAGTTAAACCTGAGTTTAACCCGAGTTTACCCAGAGTTTAACCTGAGTTTACCCTCAGTTAAACCTGAGTTTAACTGAGGTTTAACCTGGGATAGAGTTTGGCCTGAGTTTAACCTGGGATAGACTTTAACCCATGTTTAACCCGAGTTTTACCTGAGTTAAACTCATGTTTAACCTGTTATAGAGTTCAACCAAAGTTTAACCCAAATTGAACCTGGGATAGATTTTAACCCGATTTTAAGCTGAGGTCAACCAGAATTTAACTTTGTTTGACGTGGGACAGAGTTTAACCCGGGTTTAAGGTAAGTTTAACCCGGGATAGAGCCGGCAGTACTCAGGCCTTCTGTCTCTCCTCAGGCGTCGAAGAAGAAGGTGTACATGCTGTATAACATTCAGCCCGACCGCTCGGTGACGGGCGGCGCCTGGTACAGCGACCAGGACTTTGAGTCCGAGTTCGTGGAGGTTCTGAACCAGCAGTGCTTCAAGTTCCTGCAGAGCAAGGTGCACAGCTTTCTCTACACACAGCAGACACACAACGTTAGCCTTTAGCTCAGCGGTGGTGAGGTAACTGTGTGTGTGTGTGTGTGTGTGTGTGTGTGTGTGTGTGTGTGTGTGTGTGTGTGTGTGTGTGTGTGTGTGTGTGTGTGTGTGTGTGTGTGTGTGTGTGTGTGTGTGTGTGTGTGTGTGTGTGTGTGTGTGTGTGTGTGTGCAGGCTGAAGCAGCGAAGGACAGTAAACAGAGTCCGATGATTCAGAGGAACAGCTCCTTGGCCACGTCTCATGAAGTCTGGAAGTACATCTGTGAGCTCGGCATCAGCAAGGTGATGTAGCCCTGCCCTCTTTATGACATCACAGCACACAGGGGCGGAGCCACACGTCAGGAGACATGGAGTTTAACCCGATTTTGACCAGGCATAGAGTTTAACCTGGGAAAGAGTTTAAACTGAGTTTAACCTGAGTTTAACCTGAGTTTAAACTGAGTTTAACCTGAGTTTAACCTGAGTTTAACCTGAGTTTAAACTGAGTTTAATCCGAGTTTAACCTGAGTTTAACCTGAGTTTAACCTGAGTTTAACCTGAGTTTGAACTGAGTTTAACCCAAATTGAACCCAAGTTTAACCTGAGTTTAACCTGAGTTTAACCTGGGTTAAAGTTGACTGAGAGATGTCTATGTCTGCAGGTGGATCTGTCGATGGACGACATTGAGACGATCCTCAACACGCTGATCTACGACGGGAAGGTGGAGCTGACGGTCATCGCAGCTAAAGAGGGAACGGTGGGCAGCGTGGACGGCCAGATGAAGCTCTACAGGGGCGTCAACGCCGTGCTGCTGCCCACCGGCATGGTGCGGACGCCCTGCGGACTCTGCCCGGTAACAGGGGGGGACCCAAGTAACCCAAATTTAACCCGAGTTTAACACAAGCTTAACCTGTTGAGCCGCACGGACCCGAGGGCGGAGGCAAAAACGTAACATCTTGCAAGAAACAGCGTCTGAGGGCTTCTTAACATTTAACAACCTATGAATGTGTCATACCCACTTAACGGAAGAAACTCAGCTAACTGACGATATGAAATTTTTTTACGGAAACAAAACTCAAGTCTCACAAGAAGCGTCTAAATGAGCCCTAAATATAATATATATATATATATATATATATAATATAATAAATACTTTATTACTTATCGGATCTGCATAAACAAGATATCAGCTAGCAAACTGAGATTTCACAGATTCTAGAAATGTAAGTATCATCACTGAGAGATCAGAACTCGCGGCAGGGTAAGCAAACACAGACATCACACAATTTAGCTTTACGGAGCAAAAGCGGCAATATGTCTCACCTTAGCTGTTGCTCTGATCAAAAGTTTAGTTCAATGGCATTAAAACGATAAAAACGCCACTGAAGGTTAATCCAATGGTTAATCCATAGGTTAATCCATAGGTTAATCCAATGGTTAATCCAATGGTTAATCCAATGGTTAATCCATAGGTTAATCCAATGTGTCTGTGTCACTTTGAAATGATTACTGATAATCCATCATTCCATTTATGTCAATAACGGAGATTTCATATTAGCTGCTGTTAGCTGCTATTAGAGCTACAACCCAGCTTCCGGTTTGGGGCATTCTGGCTGTGCATCACTCTCACTCCTCAATGGAAATGTTTAGATGGATTTGAGGAACTTCCCCTCGATTCGATTGGCTCTTACGGTTAAAAAGAGATGTCAATCATCAAAATCGACCGAGGGGGGCCAGAGATATGGAAAATGCACCCAAATTAGTGTTTTTCCCCCTAAATCTCTCTAAAAAGGTCAAAGGTCACTTGTTTTGCATCAATCTTGATACAGGGTACTTATTATATGTTATAGTTTGGATTCCTAAAGCTTTTAGTCTACTAACCCATCATTCAAGGGTAGTTTTCACTATAAGTAATGTTTTCTTTTTGGACGGACACTATCATTTACAGTTTTTTATTAATGTTTTTACTATGTTTAATCTGAATTTACTTTAAAGTAAAAACATCTATATTGATTCTGACTTTTCTACATCCAACTCACAGGTTTATCATTGCTTTGAGAAAAAAGATTGTTCATTTTCACCTTTTAGAAGTGAAGATATGGTAATTTGTTCTGGGAATGTCATTTTCTCGCATTGCTCCTAAAAAGTGTTTCTGGCACTGACATCAATCAACAGTTGTGCGTGGACTCGGCAGGGATCAAGGCGTCTATGCCTCTCTCTGCTTCCACCGTCTACACACAACCAGATGACATGCCATCAGTGAGGGAAAAGAGTAAGAACTAAGATGTATAGGTGAAGAGGCACAACGTGTCTACGTCAATGCACTCTTATTTGATCAATTATAAGCTTTATCAAAAAGGAAGGTCTTAAGCGCACTCTTAAAAGCGGATCGGCTGCCTGCCGCCCGAACACAAACTGGAAGCTGGTTCCACAAAAGTGGAGCTTGATAAGAAAAGGCTCTGGCTCCCATTGTACTTTTAGGGGGGCTTCTTAATATTTAATAAACTATGAATGTTTCATATCCATGTAACGGGAAGAAACTCAGCTAACTGATGATATGAACCATTTTTAGCAAAAAAAAACACAAGGCTAACGCTGAGCCTCTGAATTAGTCCTGAGCGAAAAAATGCTAACGCCGTTAGCACAGAAAACACGGTATAACACCCTTATTACTTATCGTAACTGCACATCCAACATATCGATTAGCATCTTGAGAATACACAGAATCGATAGGTATCTATATCATCACTCCATGATAAGAACTCACAACATTATTAACAAAAACAGGCATCACAACACGTGGCATTAGGTAGCCAAAACGAGAATATGTCTTACCTCTGTTGTCTGATCAAAAGTTGTCTTCAATGGCATTAAAACGATTAAAACGCTGCTGAAGTTGATCCATAGGTTAATCCAATGTGTCTGTGTCACTTTGAAATGATTTCTGATAATCCATCAGCAGAGTTGGGTGTAATATTACTTTTGTCGGTAACGGAGTAGTGTAACGCGTTACTTTTATAATTCAGTAATCACACTACAGTGACTAACATTGCCCCGACACGCGTTACTTTGTTACTTTTATAAAATCAGTCATAATCACACTGACAGACAAGAGGGGTTTCCGCCGCAGGTTTATATGTACGTAATCTGCGCGACTTGCACGTCCACATCTCCGCGTGCAGTGCTGCATAAACATGGCTGAGTCAGCGATAACTTTCGAGGGGTGGAGGTATGCCCATTATTTTGAGTTCGTCCGAAGAATAGACAGGAATGTGACGGTGAGGTGCAAACTGTGTCCAGGCCAGAAGCTGTTATCCACTGCTGTGAACACCATGTCAAACCTCAACAAACACCTGCAAAGAACACATGCTAAGGTGAAGCTAATAGCTAAGGACCCCCGAACCCAGAGTGAGGATGTTGTGAGTCGCCGCCGCCGACTCCGAAGCAGCACAAATTAGAATTTGGAGGACCGGTAACCAAAGCAGAGATGGACAGGCTTGTAGCATCCTTCATAGTAGAGGTAATGTTGCCCATTTGCACAGTGGAATCACCATCGCATCGTTCAGAGATATACTGCGCAAAATACAGATAGCAGGAGACAGAGGACAGCTATGGTCAGAGCTATCTGGATCAGTCTTATGCGACAATGGAAACTGAACTAAAGAGAACATTTGAAACTTTAGCAGTCTGCGTGATCTGCCTGCAGGGAGGGGCGGGCCGGCCCTGAGAGTAAAGTAACGAGTAAAGTAACGAGTTACTTTATGTAGAGAGTAACGAAGTAGTGTAATATATTACTTTTTTTTTAAAGTAATATATAATATGTAATATATTACTTTTTTTTAGTAACGACCCCATCTCTGTCCATTAGCAATAAACCTACTTTTAAGTTTTCAGATTTCAGAGCGTGAGACAGGTTTCGATTTGGGGAAACTGCATGCGCATAGCCCCCACTTTTTTTGGTAACGTTGGTGTGTATGTGGAAATTCCCCTTCGATTCTATTGGCTCTAACGGTTAAAAAGAGATGTCAACCATCAAAATCGACCAATGGGTTCCAGAGAAACGGCAAAAACGCCCATTTCCACCCAAATGACCCCAGAAGTGGTTTCTTTTTGCTAAACCTCTCTAAAAAGGTAAAATGTCACTTGTTTTGCATCAATCTTGATACAGGGTACTTATTATATGTTGTACTTTGGATTCCTAAAGCTTGTAGTCTACTATCCCATCATCCAAGGGTAGTTTTCACTATAAGTAAAAAAGAATCTTTGGACGGACACTATCATTTACAGTTTTTTACTATGTAAAATCTGAATTTTTTTTTAAATAAAAAAACATCTATATTGATTCTGACTTTTCTACATCCAACTCACAGGTTTATCATTACTTTGAGAAAAAATATTATGAATTTTCCCCTTTTAGAAGGGAAGATATGGTCATTTGTTCTGGGAATGGCATTTTCGAGCCTGAGACCTGAAAAACAGGCTCGGGGCAGAACAGGTTAAGGTAAGATGGCGCCTGCCCATTAAGGGCTTTGTAGGCGAGAAGAAGAATTTAAAATTATATCCTGTGTTCTCTAGGGAGCCAGTGTAAGGCAGCCAAAACTGGAGTAATGTGGTCCCTTTTCCGAACTCTAGTTAGTACACGTGCTGCAGCATTTTGAATTAGCTGAAGCGACTTAACTGACTCATGAAAGACGACACACGAAGTGAGGATACCCGGCCCGGAGGAAGCCCGGGGTCCCCTTCTGGAGCCAGGCCCAGAAGGAGGACTCGTCGGCGAGCGTCTGGTGGCCGCGCTTGCCACGGAGCCCGGCCAGGCACAGCCCGAAAAGGCAACGTGGGCAACACCTCCGCTTCTCCGTCCCGCGGGCCCACCACCTACGGGAAACAGCGATGGGGTCGGGTGCGCTGCCAGAAGGGTGGCAGTGAAAGCAGAGGGTCTCGACGGACCAGACCCGGGCGGCAGAAGCTGGCTTTGGGGACGTGGAACGTCACCTCTCTGGGGGGGAAGGAGCCGGAGCTTGTGCGGGAGGTGGACCGTTACCAGTTGGATCTGGTTGGGCTCACTTCTACGCACAGCGTTGGAATTTTATTTAGATGATTGGATTCATCAGGCTTGATGGATAAATATAGTTGAGTATCATCCGCATAACAATGGAAATGTACAGAATGATTCCTTATTATATTGCGGAAGCATATATAATCTGAACAAAATAGGTCCAAGCACTGAGCCCTGTGGCACTCCATGGCTAACTTTGGTTTGCATGGAAGATTCATCGTTGACACACACAAATTGAGAGCGTTCAGATAGATAGGACCTAAACCAGCCTAATTTTAACCCAAGTTTAACCTGAGTTGAACCCAAGTTTAACCCGAGTTTAACCCGAGTTTAACCCGAGTTGAACCCGAGTTGAACCCGAGTTGAACCCGAGTTGAACCCGAGTTTAACCCGAGTTTAACCCGAGTTGAACCCGAGTTGAACCCGAGTTGAACCCGAGTTGAACCCGAGTTGAACCTGAGTTTAATCTCTGCCCAGTAACTAAGTTAAACTAAGGGTGTGGTGGAAATGTACTGAAACAAACTAACAAATAATAATCAAATCTGTGTCCTCAGGTGTGTGACTTCCTGTCTGTGTCCTCAGGTGTGTGACTTCCTGTCTGTGTCCTCAGGTGTGTGACTTCCTGTCTGTGTCCTCAGGTGTTTGATGACTGTCAGGAAGGAGGGGAGATTTCTCCCTCTAACTGCATCTACATGACGGAGTGGTTGGACTTCTGATGCTCCGACGCTCCGACTCTCTTTTCTCTGTGAGGAAATCTTCCGTTTGTTCCAGCGATCTGTGATCCACATTTATTTTCTATTTATCACAAAGTTGAATAAAGCTGTCAGTGTGACTCGTGGTGTGTGTTTGTTAACTCTCAGTGAATAAGGTTGATTTGTTTTAGCCTCCGTCAGGTGTCGAGGGAGCCACAGTTTCTCAGTCTGAATCATTTAAATGTGGGAAATGAACAGATTAGAAACAATGCTGGGAAGCTACAGAACGAGATCAACACCTAAACATCTCCAGATATAAGAGCAGATGTCTGGAGAAACATGTCTTCTGAGACACGGGGAAGGATGCTTTCAACCAATCACAGCCCTCGTTAGTGTTTCCCAGCAGAGGATGATGTCACCTGCAGGAAGTCCAGTCCCTGTGGAGCAAACACTACATTACCCATCAGCCCCAGCAGCTGTGAGTTATGTTATTATAACTGTTGATAAAACTGCAGCCAACATCATCATCATCATCATCATCAATCTAAGGATATCTTTTCACACTAAAGATTTAAATACCTACACAAATAATTTCATCAATACATTTTTCTTTTGCGATTTAAATATTTGTGGTATAAATTAGACAATTATTTATTTAATTAAAAATTATTTGACATTAGTGTCGACCCTTTTTACCCTCCATGCATGTGTTGAAACGTGATACTACATTTCCCATGAGCCTCGTCTGCCGTTGCCGTGGATACCCCTCCATGACGTCAGAGTGCATTAGGCTCCTTAATTATGAATGACCCTGCTGACACGGAGCCACGCCCATAATGTGACGTCACTTCCGGTTACAGACCATAACAAACCGATCTGGTTGGAGCAGAGTACTTTTACTTTAATGGTCCCAGTGTAGCAGAGATATAGAGTATCTCTAACAATATAAATACACAGTAAATATATAAACTGTACAGTACATATCAACAGCGAGGAGATATAGAGTATCTCTAACAATATAAATACACAGGACTTTGCCTGCCGTCAGGTCCGTGACGAGAACCTGAAGTATTTCCACGTGGTGGCGGCGCTGTGGAGCTCCAGGTCGTCCACCCCTGCCGGCAAAGGTTGAGGCTGTCGCGGCGTTTCCTCGCCCGCTCACGGGAGTTCCTCGGGATGGTGACGTTTTTCAGCCGCCAGCTGACGCCCAGGGAGCGCAAGTACAACGCTTTTGACCGGGAGCTCCTTGGAATCTGGCTGGCCATGCGGCACTTCCGGCTCTTGCTGGTAGGCCGTGAATTACGGCGTTCGTGGACCACAAGCCGCTTACGTTCGCAATGTCCAAGGTGACGGAGCCTTGGTCTGCTCGCCAGCAACGCCAGCTTTCCTACATCTCGGAGTTCACCACGGATATCCAGCACGTGGCTGGCAAGTCAAACCTGGTCGCTGATTGCCTCTCCTGGGTCCTCAGCGGGGCCGTCCAGTTCGGCATCGATTATACCCGCATGGCAGCGGATCAGGTCACGGACCCCAGCGTCTAGGCCTTGGGATGTGGTTTTCGGCCAGCTGCACGACTTGTCGCACCCCGGCGGTAAGCCTTCGGTGCGGATGGTGGCCGCGAGGTTCGTCTGGCGGCGGCTCAAGAAGGACTTGAGGACATTGGCTGGCACGTGCGTGGCTTGCCAGCGTGCTAAGGGCCTTAGCACCCCGCCTAAGGAGAATCTGCAGTGCTCCACAGCTGAGGTGGTCTATGGTCAGCCGCTGATTTCCTCCCCAACACATCGGCCCCCTGGTCAACGGCAGCTCAGCGTGCTTTCCTGCAGAACGCCGCTAAGGCCTTTGCTCCAATCCCCACTGCTCAGCACGGCACTCCGGTGTCCCGGATTCCCGTGGGGCTTCGCTCGGCGGAGCACGTGTTCATCCTGCACGAGGCTCACAGAGGCCCCCTGCAGCCTCCTTACGACGGGCCTTTCCGAGTCTTGGAACACGGGGGCAAGCACTTGGTGGTGGACCTGTGTGAAGGCTGCTAACCTGGACTTGGACCAGCCGGTGGTGCTGACGCGACCTCCGCGACGGGGCCGCCCCCCGGCCTCGACCCCTGTCACCAACCTGGGGCCTGCGGTTCCGGTCCCACCTCTCCCAGCGGCCGCCCCTGCAGGGGTCGGCTCTCCGGCTCCTGTTCTCCGGAGTCGTGGTGGTCCGCCTGTCGTTCCTCCCCGCCGCACGGACTTTGTGTATGGGTGAATTCTGGGCGGGCTTGTGTGGTGGAGCATTACGGCAGCATGCAGCTAGTTCATTCTGTTGTCTGTATTTAAATGGAAAATAAAGTGTGGAGTTCCATACTTAACACACCGCCTCCGACTCCCATTCATCTACTCTACACAGTACACATCAACAGTGAGGAGATATAGAGTATCGCTAACGATATACAACGTACACATTGTCATTTTTTTTTTTTTAACAATTTGTACTCTACTTTAGTACAAATTTGAAGTACTTGTACTGGATAAAGAGTATGCAATCTTGAAGCATCCTAACCTTCTTGCATACTTCATAGTATGTTGTTGGAGTCCTATTTTTCCGCTGACTGCAGGTTTTAAAAGTAAAAACATGTGGACTGTTGAGAAGTAATTTGGGATGTGGGGAATAAAGCCGGAAAGGGAGAATACATTTTAAATTGTTTTGACAATGAGTGGTAGCAGTCAAGTTTAAATGTCAAGAATAAAGAAGAGATGCTGTGAATAAACTCCAAATGTTGTGAAATCAAATGTGGAATATTCAGAAAAAAGTCGGAATGTTAGAAAACAGGAAAACTGTTGTGAATGTTATAATCCAACATGTTGTTCACTAAATGTTATAATCCAACATGTTGTTCACTAAATGTTATAATCCAACATGTTGTTCACTAAATGTTATAATCCAACATGTTGTTCACTAAATGTATAATCCAACATGTTGTTCACTAAATGTTATAATCCAACATGTTGTCCACTAAATGTTATAATCCAACATGTTGTTCACTAAATGTTATAATCCAACATGTTGTCCACTAAATGTTATAATCCAACATGTTGTTCACTAAATGTTATAATCCAACATGTTGTCCACTAAATGTTATAATCCAACATGTTGTTCACTAAATGTTATAATCCAACATGTTGTTCACTAAATGTTATAATCCAACATGTTGTCCACTAAATGTTATAATCCAACATGTTGTCCACTAAATGTTATAATCCAACATGTTGTTCACTAAATGTTATAATCCAACATGTTGTTCACTAAATGTGTAATCCAACATGTTGTTCACTAAATGTATAATCCAACATGTTGTTCACTAAATGTTATAATCCAACATGTTGTCCACTAAATGTTATAATCCAACATGTTGTTCACTAAATGTTATAATCCAACATGTTGTTCACTAAATGTATAATCCAACATGTTGTTCACTAAATGTTATAATCCAACATGTTGTCCACTAAATGTATAATCCAACATGTTGTTCACTAAATGTATAATCCAACATGTTGTTCACTAAATGTTATAATCCAACATGTTGTCCACTAAATGTTATAATCCAACATGTTGTTCACTAAATGTTATAATCCAACATGTTGTTCACTAAATGTTATAATCCAACATGTTGTTCACTAAATGTGTAATCCAACATGTTGTTCACTAAATGTATAATCCAACATGTTGTTCACTAAATGTTATAATCCAACATGTTGTCCACTAAATGTTATAATCCAACATGTTGTTCACTAAATGTTATAATCCAACATGTTGTTCACTAAATGTATAATCCAACATGTTGTTCACTAAATGTTATAATCCAACATGTTGTCCACTAAATGTATAATCCAACATGTTGTTCACTAAATGTATAATCCAACATGTTGTTCACTAAATGTTATAATCCAACATGTTGTCCACTAAATGTTATAATCCAACATGTTGTTCACTAAATGTTATAATCCAACATGTTGTTCACTAAATGTGTAATCCAACATGTTGTTCACTAAATGTATAATCCAACATGTTGTTCACTAAATGTGTAATCCAACATGTTGTTCACTAAATGTTATAATCCAACATGTTGTTCACTAAATGTGTAATCCAACATGGTGTTCACTAAATGTTATAATCCAACATGTTGTTCACTAAATGTTATAATCCAACATGTGTTGTGTTTATTTCTAGTCTTTTCATTTCTCTTGTGTTTTCGCTGCAACGCAAAGTACTTCTGATCTAATCTTATTTTATTAAAAACACTTCCCATCATGCTTTGCCCTTATGTTTATGATGCAGACTGCAGGACTGGGAGGGGGGAGAGAGGGGAGACATAGGGGGAGGGAGGGAGGGAGGAGGAAGAGGAGGAGGGCAGTGCGGATTCTTTCCCGTCATTCCCTGCAGCAGCAGCAGCAGCAGCAGCAGCAGAGCCTCCCGTCTGCCTCTCCGCCCGGATCCCCTCTCTGTTTGCGGACTGATCTGCACAAGGTAAGCGGTTCCTCCAGCCTCTCCTCCAGCCTCTCCTCCAGGCTCTCCTCCCCGCTCTGTGTCCCCTCTTTCCGGCTGTCCTCCCCTCACTCTCCCCGCTGTTTGCTGTGATTGGAGCGGCCAGAGCCTCCATGAACTTCCTCCCAGAGGCCCGGTTCTCCCCCCGGTTCTCCCCCCGGTTCTCTCCCCGGTTCTCCCCCCGGTTCTCCCCCCTCTCTCTCCCCGGGCCGCGGTGCCCTCTCCCCGGACACAGAGAGCAGCAGAGCTTCCTCTCGGTCGGAGGGATGGAGGATATAACGGTGCGCCATGCAGGAGCAAAACAGGCGTGGCCGCGGTGTATGTGTGTGTGTGTGTGTGTGTGTATGTGTGTGTGTGTGTGTGTGTGTGTGTGTGTGTGTGTGTGTGTGTGTGTGTGTGTGTGTGTGTGTGTGTGTGTGTGTGTGTGTGTTGCAGAATGAGCGGGAGGTGTCCGGCCTGCAGCTGCTGTCTGGGGGGGAAACAGTGACGGTGGTCCCGGGGTGAAAAAAGGAGAGAACAGTGTTTTTGTTACGGGAACGTTTTATGTGACGTCACATTGGACCGTGTTGTCTCAGCAGGGCCGGAACCGGGGGGGGGGTAACAATAAGGGTGGGACTGTTTTTAGCTTTAGCCTCAGAGATGCTAACAGTGTTTATTCTGGGAGTGGTTTCTAAAGTCAGGAGAATCCCAGCATCATGAATTCAACAACAACCGTCTGCGCAATGGGGCCATTCTGGATTTAATAGGAACACATACAGGCTTTGTTGAATACTCTATTCTGATTGGTCAATTTGGCCGTTGGCCATGTTGTTAATAGTCTATAACACACAGCTGCTCCGTAACACCAGTATTAATCCTGTATTACACTCATATAACAGCTGTATTAATCCCGTATTACACTCATATAACAGCTGTATTAATCCTGTATTACACTCATATAACAGCTGTATTAATCCCGTATTACACTCATATAACAGCTGTATTAATCCTGTATTACACTCATATAACAGCTGTATTAATCCCGTATTACACTCATATAACAGCTGTATTAATCCTGTATTACACTCATATAACAGCTGTATTAATCCCGTATTACACTCATATAACAGCTGTATTAATCCCGTATTACACTCATATAACAGCTGTATTACACAGATATTACATCCATATTATAATTGTATTACACATTTACAGTCTGTCAATGATTGTAACCAGAAACCATTTCAGGGTTAAACAAGTTTTCTACTGTGTTTAATTTTAAACAAACGATTAATGATTGGAGCTGCAGATTAACATAATTAATTATCATCATTATCACCAGTAGATTTCTCATAAATGCACTTAAAGATAGCATTACACAACGGCCCGTTTCATATTTAAACATAGCATTTATAAAACTCTGCAGAAAACAACGGTACGTTTGGGAAGTAACGCGCTGTGAAACCACTTAATGTTGGAAAACGTTTGTATTATCTGCGGATGAATGAAGGGTGTTATGTCTAGAAAGTCAGAACATATAGAAAAATGTTTCAATAACATCTCTCAGTAAAAGATGAACGTGTTACTGTAAATCATCTTATTTGAATCCCACATGAATCTGCAGGTTATTCACTTTAATATAAAGCAGAGAGGAGAGGCAGGATGACTCAGTGTAATGTCTGCATGTTGTTGTATGGAGGCACTTTAGAGACATTAGTGTTAATGGAGCAGGAAGTCCGACTCTTCCGGAATATTCTTCAGATAATCAATGTGAGAGCTACGCTAACGCTAACTTAATTTATTTATAATTCCCTCTTCAATCACTCACCGACGGACGAAGCAAAACAGACGTTATTGATCTATCAAAACATCAGCAGGAGAGGACTCTTTAAAGTAGAGACACTACATACTGATATACACCTGAACATCAGCAGGAGAGGACTCTTTAAAGTAGAGACACTACATACTGATATACACCTGCACATCAGCAGGAGAGGACTCTTTAAAGTAGAGACACTACATACTGATATACACCTGAACATCAGCAGGAGAGGACTCTTTAAAGTAGAGACACTACACACTGATATACACCTGAACATCAGCAGGAGAGGACTCTTAAAGTAGAGACACTACATACTGATATACACCTGAACATCAGCAGGAGAGGACTCTTTAAAGTAGAGACACTACATACTGATATACACCTGAACATCAGCAGGAGAGGACTCTTTAAAGTAGAGACACTACATACTGATATACACCTGAACATCAGCAGGAGAGGACTCTTTAAAGTAGAGACACTACATACTGATATACACCTGAACATCAGCAGGAGAGGACTCTTTAAAGTAGAGACACTACATACTGATATACACCTGAACATCAGCAGGAGAGGACTCTTTAAAGTAGAGACGCTACATACTGATATACACCTGAACATCAGCAGGAGAGGACTCTTTAAAGTAGAGACACGACATACTGATATACACCTGAACATCAGCAGGAGAGGACTCTTTAAAGTAGAGACGCTACATACTGATATACACCTGAACATCAGCAGGAGAGGACTCTTTAAAGTAGAGACACTACATACTGATATACACCTGAACATCAGCAGGAGAGGACTCTTTAAAGTAGAGACACTACATACTGATATACACCTGAACATCAGCAGGAGAGGACTCTTTAAAGTAGAGACACTACATACTGATATACACCTGAACATCAGCAGGAGAGGACTCTTTAAAGTAGAGACACTACATACTGATATACACCTGAACATCAGCAGGAGAGGACTCTTTAAAGTAGAGACACTACATACTGATATACACCTGAACATCAGCAGGAGAGGACTCTTTAAAGTAGAGACACTACATACTGATATACACCTGAACATCAGCAGGAGAGGACTCTTTAAAGTAGAGACACTACATACTGATATACACCTGAACATCAGCAGGAGAGGACTCTTTAAAGTAGAGACACTACATACTGATATACACCTGAACATCAGCAGGAGAGGACTCTTTAAAGTAGAGACACTACATACTGATATACACCTGAACATCAGCAGGAGAGGACTCTTTAAAGTAGAGACACTACATACTGATATACACCTGAACATCAGCAGGAGAGGACTCTTTAAAGTAGAGACACTACATACTGATATACACCTGAACATCAGCAGGAGAGGACTCTTTAAAGTAGAGACACTACATACTGATATACACCTGAACATCAGCAGGAGAGGACTCTTTAAAGTAGAGACACTACATACTGATATACACCTGAACATCAGCAGGAGAGGACTCTTTAAAGTAGAGACACTACATACTGATATACACCTGAACATCAGCAGGAGAGGACTCTTTAAAGTAGAGACACTACATACTGATATACACCTGAACATCAGCAGGAGAGGACTCTTTAAAGTAGAGACACTACATACTGATATACACCTGAACATCAGTAGGAGAGGACTCTTTAAAGTAGAGACACTACATACTGATATACACCTGAACATCAGCAGGAGAGGACTCTTTAAAGTAAGAGACACTACATACTGATATAAACCTGAATATCAGCAGGAGAGGACTCTTTAAAGTAGAGACACTACATACTGATATACACCTGAACATCAGCAGGAGAGGACTCTTTAAAGTAGAGACACTACATACTGATATACACCTGAACATCAGCAGGAGAGGACTCTTTAAAGTAGAGACACTACATACTGATATACACCTGAACATCAGCAGGAGAGGACTCTTTAAAGTAGAGACACTACATACTGATATACACCTGAACATCAGCAGGAGAGGACTCTTTAAAGTAGAGACACTACATACTGATATACACCTGATCATCAGCAGGAGAGGACTCTTTAAAGTAGAGACACTACATACTGATATACACCTGAACATCAGCAGGAGAGGACTCTTTAAAGTAGAGACACTACATACTGATATACACCTGAACATCAGCAGGAGAGGACTCTTTAAAGTAGAGACACTACATACTGATATACACCTGAACATCAGCAGGAGAGGACTCTTTAAAGTAGAGACACTACATACTGATATACACCTGAACATCAGCAGGAGAGGACTCTTTAAAGTAGAGACACTACATACTGATATACACCTGAACATCAGCAGGAGAGGACTCTTTAAAGTAGAGACACTACATACTGATATACACCTGAACATCAGCAGGAGAGGACTCTTTAAAGTAGAGACACTACATACTGATATACACCTGAACATCAGCAGGAGAGGACTCTTTAAAGTAGAGACACTACATACTGATATACACCTGAACATCAGCAGGAGAGGACTCTTTAAAGTAGAGACACTACATACTGATATACACCTGAACATCAGCAGGAGAGGACTCTTTAAAGTAGAGACACTACATACTGATATACACCTATACACAAGTATCTCTAAAGAGGAGATGATCCTTATGAAAGTAGTTTTTATCCCTGGTATTTCATTGTAATATTATTATTGATGCAGTCTTCATAAACAGCCGAGAGCTTCTTGTAATACATGTAATTGTGTAAAAGTGCTTATTAATAATTCAGGTGGTTATGTGTGTCCTCAGCTCACCCTGCCCGTCATTAGCATCGATAATAAACCTGTTCCCACCCTACGTCTAGAAAGCTTTGATCACTGAACATAAGTACGTTTAATACATAATATGTGTTTCCTTTTCTCAACCACCAACCAAACTCTGTTTAAGAAAACCAAATGTATTTAAATTGTCTCTCATCACGAGGACATAAAGAGTCTTCTGTTCAAGGACAAAGATACGTTTCTGCTGGAGAATTCCTCCCTTCTTTCTGTTCTGCCCAATAAAGTCTATTCTTTCTATAAAAATCATCTTTGAAATCAGAACCTAAAATATGTAATATGTAAAAATAAGATGACCTCTTCCAGAGCAGCTTCTCCTCTCCCAACTGATCTGAGTTCTCTTCACGAGCCATGCTAACAGTTTCCCTCTGTTTCAGGTCACTATGCTAAGCTAAGATAACCAGCTGCATGTTTACGTTTCATGTCTCTGCTGATAGAAGGGTGGGGTCAGCTCTGCAGGGTGGGTGTGAGTGTGTGTGGGTGTGGGTGTGTGTGTGTGTGTGTGTGTGTGTGTGTGTGTGTGTGTGTGTGTGTGTGTGGTGTTATTCAGTACGCTCCTGTTCATCAGTCTGCTGCTCTCATGTGACCTTAACTGGGAACATCCTGTTAGCTTAGCATGAGCTCTGCTATCTGCAGACAGAGAGAGACAGCTGCTGAAAACAGGTGACACACACCTGCTGTCCTGTGTGTGTGTGTGTGTGTGTGTGTGTGTGTGTGTGTGTGTGTGTGTGTGAGAGGAAAGTTTGAATGTATTTTCAGGAGTTGTTTCTGCTGTGAGAATCTCAGAGTCACAGCCATTTATTTAACAACCCCCCCACAACACACACACACACACACACACACACACACACACACACACACACACACACACACACACACCCTCCCAGTGTAAGTAGAGAATGCAGCAGACATGTGTTAGGTCTGTTCAAACAGCTGGTCCAGAACATGTATAGATATAAATAACACTGTATTGAACACGCTAACACTTTAGCCCGTTAGCACCAGAAACAGCAGTTAGTGTCGTCATGGCGATGGAATGTGAGGTCAGGGCGACCCCCCCCCCCCCCTCCCCTTTACAGTCTATGGTTTTAGGCCCAGTTTTAGGGTGCTGTGACCGTTGACCCCCTCGCTGCTGCACACTGATCAGCGTCTGGCTCTGCAGCAGAGCATTCTGGGAAGTATAATCAATAATGGAGTCCCTCAGGACGTCTGAGTGCTGTGATGGCTGCTCCGTCTTATAACACACACGCACACACACACACACACACACACACACACACACACACACACACACACACACACAGAATACCTCTCAGAACTACATTAACAATGAGCCTCAATTGACCAAACTAAATCAGAAGGGGAAGTAGAAGTGAATAACCCTGACATGACTCAGCACTTAATGTAACTCTTCTTCTGCTGCTCGACACGCTGTCCAACATGTAGCTTTCATACACATACACACACACACACACACACACACACACACACGCACACACACACACACACACACACACACACACACGCACACACACACACACACACACACGCACACACACACACACACACACACACACATACACACACACACACGCACACATACACACGCACACATACGCACACACACACACGCACACACATACACACACACACATGCACACATACACACACACATACGCACACACACACACACACACACACACAGTGATGTTTTTGATGACTTCCTGTTGTCTCCCCAGGTGTGTTTGCTGCCGATGTGCCCCGCCCCCTCGTGACTTCATGATGACGGCGATGGAGTTGGACCACATGGACCTTCAGACCTCAGTCCTTCAGACTCAGTTCAGCAGCAGCAACGACACGGTGAACAACCGCTGGGACGAGGAGTGGGACAACGAGAACAGCTCGGCCCGGCTGTTCGAGCGCTCGAGGATCAAAGCACTCGCAGGTGAGAGACAAACTCAGGTATCAGTTTTATATAAGACAAGATGGACCTTTCTTATATGTCCATGTGTCCTGATGCTGGACGGGACCCTGGTCTCAAACTCTGCGCTACAGGAAACAGATGCTGGTCTTTACCTGCTTCCTCTGTCTGTTTACTGAGTTGTATTTTATTCCTTCTTATTCATATTTATATATTTATATTGTTTTGCTTCTTTTATTGTGAAGGGATGAGCTTTCAGGGCTTTTATTGTGAAGGGATGAGCTTCAGGTGTTTTATTGTGAAGGGGTGATCACTCGTGTCTTTTATTGTGAAGGGATGAGCTTCTGGTCTTTTATTGTGAAGGGATGAGCTTCTGGTCTTTTATTGTGAAGGGATGAGCTTCAGGTGTTTTATTGTGAAGGGATGAGCTTCAGTTGTTTTATTGTGAAGGGATGAGCTTCAGGTCTTTTATTGTGAAGGGATGAGCTTCAGTTGTTTTATTGTGAAGGGATGAGCTTCAGGTCTTTTATTGTGAAGGGATGAGCTTCTGGTCTTTTATTGTGAAGGGATGAACTCTAGGGTGTTTTATCTCTCAGGGGTCTTTTTGTATAAATAATAATACACTTTATTTTGTAGAACTTTTGTGTCTCAGGGCTTCTTAAAATGTAATAAACTATTCATGTGTCCTACTCAGAGGAAACGCAGCTAACTGATGATATGAACCATGTTTACCGAAACAAAACACAAGTCTCACAAGAAGCGTCTAAATGAGCCCTGAGCGAAAAAATGCTAACGCACTCTAGGTATAAATCAATCGATATACTTATCGGATATGCACACACAAGCTTACAAACTGAGATTCCACATATTCTAGAAATATAAGTATCGTCACTGAGCGATCAGAACTCGCGACAGGGGAAGCAAATAGACATCACACGACGTAGCTTTAGGTAGCAAAACATGGAGATATGCTCACCTTTTGCAGAATAACAATTCTGATCAAAAACGAGAAAAACGCAGCTGCAGGTTAATCCATAGGTTAATCCAATGTGTCTGTCACTTTGAAAAATGATTGATGATCCATAATTCCATTTTTATGTCAAAAACGGAGTTTTCATTAGCTGCTAATGGTAGCTTCCAGAGTGTATGACAGCTTCCTGTTTTGTCTCCTTGGATACGAGTCCAAACAACTCACAGACTGCACCGGGCGCTCACGTAGGAGCCCTGTGACCATCAGATTTGACGACGCTGATTGGCTGAAATTATGTTTCGGCGGCATAGTTTAAAGATAGCAACAGTTGGCTTCTGCTGCACTTGCTGCCCTCTCGTCTGGGCGCTGTGCATAGCGCCCAGACGAGAGAGGGTAATGATCAAGCCCCCAGGAAGTGCGCCGGACTCAGATGAAAATATTCGTGGTGGCCAAACGGCGGTACTACACTTCCTTTAGGTTGCCAGGCCCGGAAACACTTTTTCCCATTGACTTACATGGGGAAAGAGTGGTCTGTAAATCGTTGGATAATTTTTTTTAAACTAAATAAACTACCCAGTATGAACACTTGTATAGCCCTTATTAAAAACATTCGTTCCTCAAGTTGTAAAAATGTGCTAATAACGTTATTCTGAGAGTTATTTCCCTCTGCATTATGAACGCGCATCTAACCCACGGGACCGCGCCGCCCGGCACGTTCATGTTACGTGTTCAGCACTACATGCGTTTACCTTTACCCATGGATGCACAATAAGAACGGATCCATATCGCCTTACTGCCAGCCCACGGAGCTGTAATAATGGATATATTGCACATGTTTGCTGTAATTCATCATTTGTAAAATATTATACTACATGGGCTGTATGATGTAAATGTTGTATTAAATAAAGTTAATATTACCGACGTAGATTAACGTCCCTGTAGCTTCTTATTGCACTAAGAAGCTTATTGCACTGTATATATACATACATATGCATATATATATATATACAGTGCAATAATTATTTCATGCTAAATGAAGCTCTGTTGCTTGGATATCACTAGATCCTGTTACAGCGTAATATAAAAGTACATAACGATTGATGTGTAAATTAGCATAATTACTAGCTAACCGCTAGCTGCTAACTGCCGCCTCGTTAATATCAAATCTATCATAATAACAACCCATTACCATGCTGTCATGAACGTGCGGTGCTGTTACGTGTACGCAAATTGACGTGCTTGATGTGAACGAGCATTTTGGGGGGCATGGTTAAAGTTGCGCATGCGCTATGAGCGCACATACGGGTACTTCTCAGGCATGCCGGGTAATCTGTGACGTTTCGCTCTCTCAAAAGTTGGGCCATTTTGTCATCATGCGCGAATGAGCAACTCTCATAGGAATGAATGAGGCCCCGCCTCCCACGCTGTATCCAGTTCTTATTATACATCCATGATGAGGCCCCGCCTCCCACGCTGTATCCAGTTCTTATTATACATCCATGATGAGGCCCCGCCTCCCACGCTGTATCCAGTTCTTATTATACATCCATGGTGATGATACACGGGCAAGGCCAGGCAGGAAACATGTGACTTATCAGTAACTTTAGACATCGTAACACAATTTTAAACGAGATTTTATTGTAGATTATACATTTTACTGATACCAATTATATAATATTTACCTTGTTTATTAAAAATAAAAAAAAATTAAAATTAAATATTTTTTAAATATATATTTTTTTATTTTTATTTTTATTTTTAATGTGGGAAGAGGGGGGGCGGCGCCCCTATGGGCCGGCCGCCACTGCATATATGTGTGTGTGTGTGTGTGTGTGTGTGTGTGTGTGTGTGTGTGTGTCTGTGTGTGTGTGTGTGTGTGTGTGTGTGTGTGTGTGTGAGTGCGCTCAGGATGTTTGTTTCTGACTTCCTGTCCTTCAGTCTGGAATGTGCAGGAACAATGAGGGGAAACCCCCCCCACCCTGATGACATCATCGCCAAGCTGCAACGTCATTGACTGATTGATAAAACCTCACACACACACACACACACACACACACACACACACACACACACACACACACACAGACGTTGAGACACTACTACACTGTAAAAAATAACACTTTAAATTAGTAAAATGTCGTTTAAATTGAATTGAAATGAATGTTTTGCAAAAATAAATAAATAAAACTTAAACTGAGCTTAAAGAAAGAATTAAACAAAAACTTAAAAACTCATTTGAACGTATAGTTTTACTCAGCGATGTGAAAACTGACTATACATTATTACATTATAAAATAACAAGAAATTAAATTAAATAAACAATTTAAAGTTTAAGGGAATTTCAGTAATTTAAATTGAGGAATCCCAGGTTTGAACTTTAAACAGTGTTCATGTGGGGGGGGGGCTCCTCCCTCTGTTTGCAGTGGGCGGTGTGTGTGTGTGTGTGTGTGTGTGTGTGTGTGTGTGTGTGTGTGTGAAACAGAACAATCAGAGCAGCTTGTACACACACACACACACACACCCTGACCTCTGGACTCTTCTCTGTAAACACGCGGTCGTCTCGTCTTCGACCCTCCGAGCGTTTCTGGATTTTTTATTCTGGTCTGTCTCAGTCCTCTGGAGCCTCTGCAGTCTGGATCCAAAGACTTGAAAGAGTCTCAGTGAGTCTCTCTGTACTCTCAGTGAGTCTCTGTACTCTCAGTGAGTCTCTCTGTACTCTCAGTGAGTCTCTGTACTCTCAGTGAGTCTCTCTGTACTCTCAGTGAGTCTCTGTACTATCAGTGAGTCTCTGTACTCTCAGTGAGTCTCTCTGTACTCTCAGTGAGTCTCTCTGTACTCTCAGTGAGTCTCTGTACTCTCAGTGAGTCTCTGTACTCTCAGTGAGTCTCTCTGTACTCTCAGTGAGTCTCTCTGTACTCTCAGTGAGTCTCTCTGTACTCTCAGTGAGTCTCTCTGTACTCTCAGTGAGTCTCTGTACTCTCAGGGAGTCTCTCTGTACTCTCAGTGAGTCTCTCTGTACTCTCAGTGAGTCTCTGTACTCTCAGTGAGTCTCTCTGTACTCTCAGTGAGTCTCTGTACTCTCAGTGAGTCTCTGTACTCTCAGTGAGTCTCTCTGTACTCTCAGTGAGTCTCTGTACTCTCAGTGAGTCTCTCTGTACTCTCAGTGAGTCTCTGTACTCTCAGTGAGTCTCTCTGTACTCTCAGTGAGTCTCTGTACTATCAGTGAGTCTCTGTACTCTCAGTGAGTCTCTCTGTACTCTCAGTGAGTCTCTCTGTACTCTCAGTGAGTCTCTGTACTCTCAGTGAGTCTCTGTACTCTCAGTGAGTCTCTCTGTACTCTCAGTGAGTCTCTCTGTACTCTCAGTGAGTCTCTCTGTACTCTCAGTGAGTCTCTCTGTACTCTCAGTGAGTCTCTGTACTCTCAGTGAGTCTCTCTGTACTCTCAGTGAGTCTCTCTGTACTCTCAGTGAGTCTCTCTGTACTCTCAGTGAGTCTCTCTGTACTCTCAGTGAGTCTCTCTGTACTCTCAGTGAGTCTCTCTGTACTCTCAGTGAGTCTCTGTACTATCAGGGAGTCTCTGTACTCTCAGTGAGTCTCTGTACTATCAGGGAGTCTCTGTACTCTCAGTGAGTCTCTCTGTACTCTCAGTGAGTCTCTCTGTACTCTCAGTGAGTCTCTCTGTACTCTCAGTGAGTCTCTCTGTACTCTCAGGGAGTCTCTCTGTACTCTCAGGGAGTCTCTCTGTACTCTCAGTGAGTCTCTCTGTACTCTCAGGGAGTCTCTGTACTCTCAGTGAGTCTCTCTGTACTCTCAGTGAGTCTCTCTGTACTCTCAGTGAGTCTCTCTGTACTCTCAGGGAGTCTCTCTGTACTCTCAGTGAGTCTCTCTGTACTCTCAGGGAGTCTCTGTACTCTCAGGGAGTCTCTGTACTCTCAGGGTGACTCAGGAGCGATGAGCTGCAGCAGATACAGAGATATTAGATATTAGATATATTAGTGTGATGGAGGAGAGGCTCCTGGACTACAACCTGCTGGATGGACGCTTCAAACAGCTG